ATTTGAGGAGCATATATATATCGTGCTTTTTTTAAAATGACTAAACAAGAAACTGGCTTATTGGTAGAGGTCAGGTGCAAGAGAGTAAATGTGATACCCATTTTTCAGATGAGAAAATAGAGTTCCAAAGTAACTAACTAATGTTCCCTCCACTACACAGATGGTCAGCACCATAGCAGAGATTCAGACTTATTCATTTTATCCTGACATGTGACACATGTTACTGGCTTTATTGAAAAACTAGCACTACCCAATACAATATAGTATAATAATTGTAGAATTATTAAGAATAAAACTTCACAATTCTAATACATGTAAATATAAAAACAGAAGAAATAACCTAATGTTCTGTCCTTTTATTGTTAGGAGTAGATGCCGTAACAAAAACTTAATTATTTTAAATATTTGTTAACATAAATCACATTGGTTTTTCTTGAAAATAGAAATTGTTTTCACATCCTCGCTGGAACACTTGCGTATATTGGTATTTCTTTTATATCCCAATTTTCTTTGAAGTCAGTACATTTAAGACTTTCCTTGGAGTGCATTGGGAAAAGTCAGATTTATTTGCAAGTGTCAGGAAATGCAAATCTATCAGGAGAGTGTTAGCCCTCAACTCTTGTGTTCTCAGAGTCTCCAGTTTCTGTGAAACATTTTGTTATGTTATATAGCAGGCTCTACTGTGTCAGTGAGATTGAAGTTCCTAGGAATAGTAATTATTTTCTAGGGTTGGGAGGAGGAGCTTACCATAAATCAACTGTGTTGTGACTCATAAGGATAAAGGTTTCATGAGGACAATTTAGGACCATGTCATGTTCTTTAAAACCCTACGATACCCTTGAGTGCTCAAGGGGCAGGAGCAGGCCCTTCAAGAACAGCCCAAGAATATCCACTCTGCAGGTGCAATTCCCCTTCAGGCATTGTAGGTTGTCAATACAAGTCATAACAATTCATGCTGTCCAAAAAAAAATATCTTAAATATTGTAAGATCTCCAGCTGTATTTAATTCAGCGAGAGTGTATTCCCCATGTGTGAATTTACCACACGGTTGCTGATTCCATGTAATTTCACAAAGTTCTCATGAAAGTTTCTAAGACTCTGGGTCACTTGTATCTCATACTGTAGCAATCAAGTGGAAGACTTTTCTAACAAGAAGAAACTAATGTGAGGTACTGGGAAAAATAAAAGCCTGGGCTGGGGAGTGTCTTCATCTCTCTGGAATGCAGTGACTTTCTCTAAAAACTAAAATCACCATGTACGAAACAGAATAGTAGCTAAAAAGGCAAATAGCATGAGGTCTGGTCACACCAACTCTCTTCCAAGCTTTTAGTTCCCTTTTAGTACCCACAAAACATACTCTGCTGAGCCCATAGGACGAAGATTAACCATTATTCGGTCTGTATCCTATCCATCACCAAAAAGACTAAAATTCATGGGACTATATTTCAGCAGGGTTTATTTTGCTCCTACAGAACATTAAGGATATCTGGTTCTAAGATAATTGTTTCAACTAGAAGACATTTAAAATAGAAACATATAGAGCTGGTCTTAACAAAGGGATCTGTTGGTACCCTTCCCTACCTTGCCTTTATATGAGCAATGCATGTCTATCCCCCTAACAGAAATCTGTCTTTTGCTGAGATCAATGTTGTTTATTCCAAATATTTGATACTAGTTCCTGTAATTTTCATTTAGTACTTCATTAAATTGTCAGTGTCTCCTGAAGTTCCCTATCACTTAATTTGCAATAGCTAGCTAGCACTCATCACTATGTTACTAGTTCATCTATGTTGGTCAGTGAAGTCGAACGATTGGTCTGTCAATGGATCTACTTCTAATTATTCTTCCCAATTTTAAAGTGTGAGATATATTTGTCCACTTCTTAATGCTTAGAATTTCTTTATTGTGAGTGATTCTTACCAGTCTGTCGCTATGCTCAATAAATTCTTGTCAATTTACTCTTTATATTCTTATATGTAAGGCTAAAACCAAAAACTATCCATTTCCAAGGATTGGAAATTTAATTGAGAAGTCTCCTAAGTATGAATTTACCCTACTCTCTTAAAGAATTTATATTACTCCTTGAGCATACTGAATATTTGTTGAGTATATATAAGCTATAAAAATGACTATGAAACAAGCCCATTACCTACAGTAGATGTTAGCCATGCAGATGAATCCCTCTCCTGTCTTAGCAGCAGCTATAGTTATTCTAAAATTTCTAGTTACCATTGTGATTTTCTAAGTCATTTGCCACGCAGACAGCTATTGCTCAAACTGGGATGTTTCAACACTTACCCTCTGCACTCAGCTCAAGGTCTCCTCCATGAAATCTTCCCTCCTACCGCCACGTCCAGGCTTCCTCTTCCACAACCCATCCTCCAAAATAGCCACGCCAGTCCCTTTCTTCATAGGCTCCCCAGATTTCATTAGGGACTATCAGGAGAAACAAGGGGCTTGTTCTGTTCTTTTCTAACCATGGGAAGTTATTTTGTTTTCTGAAACTTAAATTGCTTTGTTGTACTAAGTGGGAAAGCAATGAAGCTTTTCCTACAGGAGAAAAAAGAAAGGAATGACAGTTGAGCCTACCTGGCAATTTCCAGGCCAGAAACAGTGATAGACCTTGTCTCAAACAGCTATGTTGGGGGCCGTCCTAAGGAACACCTCAGCTTGTCCTCTGGCCTTCAGAAACGTGCCATTGGTTTTGTTTCTTATTTTTGAAATAAACCATGAGACCAAAGAATTTACGTTTCCTGTTGTGGGTGATTATCTGTGCATTGGTGAGTGGGTAGATGGCACAGTATACTTTACAGTGAGATTTGCTGTCCCTTTTAAATTCCAAATTCGCTATGTACACAGAACTCCTTGAAAAACATTCTTCTGTTGTGAAATGACCCACTGCAACTGAACTGCAATTAACCTGCTGACGTGGCAGTGAGCCTCCACAGCATTTAACAAAGTGTTAATTAATGGCAAAATGAGGAAATTACTCATAATGTCTTCTTATATTTGAAAATTTCTCTTAAGTTATTAATTTGTTTCAATGGTATCCTGCCCTTGGGCCTCCCTAATATTTCAACATTTATCTTGCCAGTGTTTATTTAAATTGAATCTAAATTTATAATCCATGTAGACTATGTGGAAGCATTTGTCTATCTGTTTTCCACAGACATGAGCCTTACTACTCATTCTTCAATAAAGCAGCTGGGTCACTAAAAAGTTCAGTTGCAATATGGAAATCGACTACGAAATGATTGCTTTAGATCAAAGTCCCTCCGATCAGAACTTCATTTATTAGCTGTTTTGACCGTAGGAGAAAAGAGTTGATATGAAATTTATCCATCTCACCTTGTTTGATATTTAGAGATCCAACTTGACCAGCCATGCCTGTGATATTAATCTCACTGAATCTCTCAGTTTGTTATGGCAATCCGGTTAATTGCACAAAATTGTTGGAAGCATTTAACCAATCAACCAAAAAAGATATTTTCAAATGATTTCAATTTCTGGAAAATGGGTTATTAAATAATAGCAAGAAAAAGAAAGTTTAGGTTTCTCATTCAGACAATTTATAGATAACTGAACAAGTCTCAAGTGTGGAAAATACAAGTGTGAGGAAGAAAATAGAAATTCTGACTTGTTACCATGGTGGTGCAGAGAAGACAGCTTAAAAACTCCCAGGTTTATATTTCTTTTAGTTTGTTAGCATACAAAAAGGAATCATTATAAATAATAACAATAATCACACTTAAATGATGAGGAGAGATGCCAGGCATACATAGATATTTTAAAAATCAATTATCTGAGAAGGGCTAGCATAAAGTAAAACTGCCAGGGTATATGGCTCATATGCAAAATGACAAAGGTGGTTTAGTTAATAAGTTTCCCACATACTCCAAAGCCTGATTCCCTAGACTTGCTTCCAGCATCCAAGGAGCTATGCTCCAACTAAATTAGACTCTTCAACTTAATATTCTTCAATTAGCCTCTTTCTCATCTCCACATCTTGTTCTTATTTTCTCTTCCTAGTAGACCTTTGCTTTTCACAGTCCTATTTAGATTTCCCAGTATATTTCAAAATATAAGCCCTACTCTGGCCTTCTTAATCAGAAATTACCGAATTTGTCTTTCACCTTGTTGATGAATGTTTAACCCAGCCTATATTTTAGTTACTGTCCACATCTTACTTTATAATACATATCTACTCCTGAACTCTCCCAAGTGCTCAACATCCTAGCGTGAACTGTACCCCACCCAGGTCACCCACATGCCTCATAATGCTCTAACATATGAACATTTTCTAATTTACTGAGTGGATTGGAAAACAATCAGTCCTAATGAATAATAGTCAGAATATAAGGTGGCAAGTAAATACATTGTGTGTGCATCAATGGCCTTATGTACATATCAACTGTAATACTTAGCCTTACAGATCACTAATAAAAAAGTACTGAAATTGTCATAGTGAAAAATAAGTTTTTAATGGGTTAATTTGAATATCTGATAAACATTTTAGTAGATATTGTATTTTGTTTCCTATTGTTTGTTTTATAGTATAATATAGTACACATAGTTTACTAAACTTGAGAAATAATAATAAATTATACTAACTTTAAAGTTGTACCTATATGCTTGATACTCTAAAACAAATTTCATGACCTGATTATTCATACATATTTCATTTGGCTTCAAATATATCTTTCCTTCTTTCTTAAACCTGTATTAAACTGTTTCATTCAGCTTAACCTTTAAAAGCCAGGAAATCTCATGTTAGCTGACAACAAATGTCAATAGATACAATCAGAATTTTTAAAAAACAGTTCCTCAAGGACAACAGTCTGGTTAACGGAAGGGACAATGGAACACATACCTGCAAGTATGTCACAGGCATAATGTTCTTGTTTCCATGTGTGTTATATTTAGTGTGTCTGGAGAGGGAATAATGTAAAGATATCAGACCGGTATTGTTTTAATCTTTATTACTTTTCTATTTTTTCTAGTAAAAGGGGGCACTCTCGCAAACCGAGGGGAAGGTTCCACTTGATGAACCGCTTCACCCTGGTGTTCCTGCTTCTGCTCGTAAGTGAAGAAAATCATTCTGTTCCGTGTTAATAAGTGTGCAGAGCAGGGAGGAGTGTCTGAGTGTGGGTGAACTGACAATTGCAAGGAAACCAAAACTGCATTTCTTCAAACTGTCACTTTTCTTCACGTTTTGTGAACAAGCCTTTCCTTTGAACATTTGCTCATTTTAATTATTGACATGGTTTATCTAGACAACTGGATTCCATTTGTTTGGAAAAGTTAGTAATGATCTGAATCATCTCCATAGGACAGAAAGTTGAGAATTTTCCTGGATAAGTTTATTTTTTGTGTGTTTTTGAAAAGCAGATTTGAATTGTGGCTTCTGGGTTCTTCTATACTTTTAAAACACCTAAACTCCATCAGTCTAGTGACTGATTTCTGATATGTTTCTGATAAAAACTTAGAATCTTTGGCCCTTGAGGAAACACTGGCACTCTGTAATTCTTCTGCAGATTGTAAGATCAGATTCATATGTCAGAACTTCATGTTGCTCAATTCATGGAGATTTAGCCGGTTAGACAACACTATCAGTATCTATTGTATTAACACGCCACCACATCACATTCAGTAGTATGTAAACGGGAGGTAAGCAAATGAGAGTTGTCTGAATCCTTGCTCTGTTACCACACTGAACAACATTTGAAACTGAATCACAGTTGTCAATAAATATCATTCAAAAATCTCATACTCTATAACCAAGCAAGGTTTGCAATGGGTTCCAGGACATCATTTTTTCATTCTTTACCATGTAAAGTGGCAGGTTTGCAAGTCCACCTAAACTTCTGACTTTCAGTAAATATGAATCTAATTTGAAACGGAGTGTTTGTGGATCAAATAAATGCTTATAGAAATGCCTAGCAATCATTTTGTAACTCTTGGTTTATTCTGCCAAAGTATCATATTATTTTAAACCAGTGAAAATTTCCTTAGCAAAATATGATTTTATAATTTTAACCCAATATTTAGAAATCCAGGTTCCTTTGTATCATAAACCTAAACGAAATACCTCAATGAGAATGTTGTAGAGGTAGACAGTAATATTTTGCTTATAAATGCCTAATCCTTACATAATATTTATAAATGTAGAAATATAGTATTTATTTATCATAAATTTATACTGTTAGTTTGCATTCCTCAAGTTAAATTCTGGTAAAATATACATAAACACCTCTTAGTTTTGTGTCATAAAGAACACAATATTGAACATTTTATTTTTTAATATTTTTAGAACTTAAACCAATGTTTAAATTTAAATATATTTTGAGACTATTCCATATCTCCCTGAAAAGACTTGGGGGAGAGATATATGTAATTTTAAAAGACTACTAAAGATTAGCAAAATAAATTACACTACAGATCATTTTGATATCTAACAAAGTTAACAGAGGTCAATTTTAGTCAAAGCTTTTACTCTTCTGTTTTATAATATTAAAAAGAAAATGCATACATTTTCATGACTTACAGGCTATAATAAATATGGTTTATAGGCATCTCTTTTCTACCAAACATGTTTGGGTATGTAGGTTGCTCCGTGGTTTCTACTATGACAGAAAGAAATTGTGTTGTTTGTATTAATTGCATATTTCTTTTGGAGGATTTTTGAATCACATAAAGTTCAACACACCAATTCCTTCAAAACAGCTTATTTCACATTGATATATCTTGGAAAGAAATTTAAGTAAAATGGTCTTAATTAACCCAAATAATCACTTTTTATGTAACATACTGATGTAAGAACACACTCATGGTTTATTAAGTTCGACCTACTCATTCCCCTATTTGTCCTTAAAGTACATGTTTTTGTGTTTGGGCCACCACCTTTCTGTGGTCTCCTTTACATTGGTCATACAGTGATTGCCACTCCCTGTGGGCTTAGGACAGTGGTGGGTTCATAGTGAGCATCAAATAATTCAGGTGATGGTGACAGTAGCAATAATGACAATATTGAGGAACACAGAAAAAGAAACAAGATTCTTCTAGAAGTATCTTGATTTTTGTTATCATTTGTCTACTTAGTTGTGTTCCCCCAGAAAATACATAGGACACCAAGCAGGCTTCTGATCATAGTAGGAAAATGGGGTTAATACACTACAGCACTGTAGCATAACTGTAGCATAACTAGAAAAAAAAACACAAGTAATTGTAACATATACACTCAGTGCCAAGGATAGTGACATGGAAATTCTATTAATTATGCTAATTTCTAAAACTAGCTAATATTCTGTCTTACAATTATTACTTTTTATGGATTAAATGGGGCCATTTAATATGTTACTGTAGGTAATGACCTCTCATTAAATGTTTAAGAAAGTGGATAGATACATATTATTTTGTGAGCAATTGTGCCTGATACAGTCACTAGCAGTGCTGCCTTCCACACAGTGAGCTGGAACCAAGCAGAAGTGGACTGTTTGGAAATTCTATACCAAACAGGCTCTAACTGATGCAATACTTCCAGTCACCACCAGTAACCCCAAAAGACTGATTGTCTCATATATAGTAGGAGTTACTTTAGCATGTAGTCACTTAAGATTATTTTCTTCTATCCTCCATGCTCAGTGAGAATTAAACCATCTAGAATGTACACTTCATGAGGGCAGAAACCATGCTAGCAAGTTCACTGCTGAGTTTTCAGAACCTACAACAGGTCCTGGCATATTGAAATATTTTGAGTATTTATTGCATAAAAAGTCTTTGTGATGCCTCATCTGCTGACTGCTGCTGTGGCAGCTTGGTTGTCATATGTGTGATGCCACTTTCTATAATCTTCCAGAATGACATCACATATATGGCTACTAAACTGCTACATGGAACAACAATTAAGATGTAGGTAGATAGGTAAGTAGGTAGGTAGAGAGGTAGGTTGGTTTTGAAAGAGCCATGTAACATGCTCATGTTTCATTGATAGCTTTATAAGCATGACATCAAGTATTTGTTGAATCACTCATAGCATAAGCACAATACTTAAAATTAGTAGAATCTCTTCATATCTTCCATATTGCTTGATTGTCTCATGATATCACTGCTGGGGTTATTAAAATAATACCATATCATTAGCAATTTTACTTGCATGGAATTGTTGTAAGAATTTAACAATGTAAATGTTATGTATATGTTGTTTTTAAGCAGCACTAATTTCATGATTAGAAATATATTATATATTTCTATCTGCGTTTTCATGTCTCTATCTGCCTATCTATCCATCCATCCATCTGTAAATGGAATACCCCAAGTTGCATGTAATTTTAGGAATAAAGTCATTGTGAGAGATTCAGGAGCCACTGGGAGAATCCCACCCTCAATGTTCAAGCAAGGACCAGACCAGGAGCTCCTGTGGCTCAACCGACAACAGAGGTTCTGGTTTTTCATTCTTTCAGTGTTGAAACAATCTCTATTGAGCCAAGCTCCAAACCAAATTCACTGGTGTTTGTTTCAATATTGCAAGAATGGTAAGTATGAAGCTACCCCAAACAGCTGAACTGTACCTACTCTCACATGTTCTACCCACTTGTGCTGTTCAGTGTCAAACCTAATAAAGATGCCACTGAAAGCACAGGTGTAGACTTTTTCCATCTAGCATCTTTAGTACATAATACTCCCCCCCAGGCTTAATTAATTTCCAATTAATACAAGAGCATTTCTTAATGAGCTGCCAAACATATAAGGACAGAATTCAGAATGTGGTTTTGGAAAGACACAAACCTAAGAAAAGTAATTCCTAATGTCTAAAAATTCTAGTATAAAATACACATCCATATATATGAAATTCTAGCTTCTAAATTAATTAGAAAACAATGAGATGTCCCAGGATTAAACATATCAAGCGATCCCCCAAATGGTTTCTAAAATATAAAATAAACTATTAATCTCTCTCCTGCAAGGGACTGTAATCTTCCCTTCTTTGGTGGTTCAGTCATATTAGTTTGGATTTTATAAATACACTCACATATATTTCTATTTTTTAATATGTGAGACATGATTCTTAAGATTTTCAAAAAGGGAAAAGTTGGCTTCATAATGGAGATGTCTTGGAAATCAAATTATTTGTTTTGTTTGTATATAAACTTTCCAAACACAATAATATTCAAATAGGAGATGATCAAGATGTGTGTGAGTATGTATGGTTGCTGTACATTCTCAATAGCAAATGAGTATTGGTAAAAAATATAAATAGAATTTAAATGTGAAATGTAATACATTTCAGTATAGAGAAAATCTGTATAAAAGTTGCTTATAAAATGAAAAAAAAATGTTTTCATACTTTTAAAATCATCACATTTATTTGTGTGCTAATTTATGAGCTCCTTTGTAAGGAATGATTTTATCTTTTATACAGAGCCCTACTCCAGTTCTTCAGGCCCCTTCCAACTACAGTGAGCCTGAACCCACCCCTAATCACGATCCGTTCTTGTACTTGGTTGGGCGCAAGAAGCTGCTGGACGCCCAGTACAAGTGCTATGACCGAATTCAGGAGTTGCCCCCTTATGAGGGAGAAGGTAAGAAAACTCATGTGAAGGAAACATCATTGAGGAGTGTTTCTTCCCAAGGCACACAGTTCTCACATCATAGTGTGCTTGTGTATTTTGTGCAGCCGATATAACGATTCCCCCCTACTTCATCTAACATCATTTTGGCTGACATTTGCCCTTCTGACAAAATTACCACAATAACTCAGCATTCACTCCTAATAAGCAGGAACAATACAAGACTGAATAACGGCGGGGAAATAGAAAGTGATGAGCAGAGAATCTGCCCGAGGCAGAACCTGAGCAAACCCTGTCTGATTTGGATTAATTAGGCATATCTTCCCTTCAATGTCAATTCATTGACAACCTCTGCTATTTCTTTTCTTTTGCTACCCCACCCCCCAGTTCCATGGGGAATAAGAGGGGGAAATAAGTTGCCTCAGTAAGCATTGTTAATCTATGTCCTCCTTTAGAGTAATCTTTGTAGCAGCCCAAATATTTTCAGGGCTAAGCGTAGTCTACTTGCTATAGGGATCCCAGAGAAAAGTAAAATGGAAGAATGTTTGACAGCCAAGCTCTAACACAGCCTTTTGAATTCTCTTCCATGTCCCTGAAACATAAAAAGACTCAATTAAGACTTTTATATAACCTTGAGCATTCTAAGACAAAGATGCTTAGCAAGGGGGGAGATGATTAAGTATACTCTATTATACTAATAAATAAAACATTTGCTTTAAGTAATAACTAAACAAAACATTTATTAGATGCACCATACTGACATGCCTTATTAAATTAGAGAATACCCTCACCTCCATAAATTTATTTTAGATTTTTGAGTAATTACTTTTTGTCATAAATTTTGATAAATAATGCCTTCACTGAATATTTTTTCAAACTGTTTTGCGGGTAATGGTAGTGCCTCACCTTACAAATTATCATTTCAACTTCTTGGCTGAATACTTTTAAAAAGGTAAAATTTCTATAAGTAAAAACTTGTAAACATACCTCAGAGCCCATTTGATTGATTTCTTAGCAACACTTTAGATTTCTTCCACAATTATATAAATGGACTAAAATGCATTGTTCAGGGCTGTTTGTTTTATGAGAAGCCCAGCTTCAGAACCTTTTACAGAGAAAAACAAGAGCTCTGCCTGTCATTCAATGAGATATTTTCCTATATAAAATCTGAAATCATTTGAAAGTTTATTTCCAAAATTGATGAGAATGGCTCATTGGAAATATGGTTAGTCTAGACTAAGTAGTAGGATTGGTTCTCTGAGATCTTCTTGTAAACAGTCTTTTAGCTAAATCACATCTTCTGATGTCAATTTCTTTATAAATTCCCAGGCCCATATTGCAACCGTACCTGGGATGGATGGCTGTGCTGGGATGACACTCCGGCTGGAGTAACGGCCTATCAGCATTGCCCAGACTACTTTCCAGACTTTGACACAACAGGTAAGGTCTTCAGTTTCATTTTATGTTTTAGTTGTGAATAAAAATGTGTGAACTGGACAAGTGGAACCAAAGCCGTTTGAGCTACGGAAGTTACATAGCGATGTTTCACATTGAACATCACCTTCCACATTAAAGTATTTTCATACTCAGAGTATTGACTCTACCTCATGATGTCAAGACCTCTCTATTCAAAATTAAATATTTCTTAACCTTCATGCAAACTTGTATATGTTGTCCATTCATAACTTTTAAGAAAAGACTCATTGCTTTTTCATTTCTTGATCCTGTCACAGACATATTATTAGATGGCAACCTACAATGCTCAAGTAGAATGATAGTCTAGGACAATCAGGTTCCAAGTGACATTAAAGATTAAAGGGCTGGTGTCACTTAGTTTAGGATTGTCATGTATACACACATAGATGTCTGGATTTGAGGCTGTTCCATGATTAATACTTAGGAGTAGATAAGTGGCATATGGGTAGGTTGTCACAGCCTCAATATAGAAACTAGGCAGAAATATGTGGGTGGAAAAATGGGATTGGGTAAATGGAATCTAATAAAAGATGAAGAAAACCATGTTTAGAAGTTATTAGGGCTTGGCACACTCAGTGTCTTAGGAAACATAGAATACCAGATGATCCTGGGAAGGTGGGCACCGAAGATTTAGTGATGATAGCCACTTACTACAGGGACTGCCTGATCAAAGCCAGAAAAATCACATCCAGCCACCCCAGAACTGCCCTCCTGTAAACTGGAATCAAAATTTTGCATGATAAGAATTCTTCAGGCCCTTATTTGATATGTCATTTATCTTGGTCTGTAATTTCATTTAAGGTGACTTGACTGAAACATTTAAAAAAGTTGTTCTGCAATTGAGGTTAACAGGCCAATTAGAAAGTAGCAATGGGCTCTTGCCAAAGTAGCTATAAATATTGACTTAAATGCAAGGTTTTGCTAAGCAAAGTGAAGATTTCCAGTTATAGATCCATCTTTTCAGTCTAGTTTTTAGATGGAGCCATTTAAGCATTTGAGCTAAGAGACAAATTCTCTTCTTTAAAAAAAAAAGCAAATTTTCAATATGTCTGTCCTCAACACATTTCAATTCTTTATGGTTTTAATTGTTGACATGGGGCTACACCTTAGTATCACAAAAATACTCCAATGGAATGTTAGGGTTTTCATTTTTGAAGAAGTACTTGGTAAAAGACAGATGGGGTGGGCTGAGAAGTCTCAGTCAACAAGTTTGTGAAAGCGGGAAGATGTGAGTTTGTTCACCAACACCCACATTAAAATCTGGGCACAGAGGCACATCTTTAAATCCCAATGTTGGGAAGGCAGAGGCAGAAGTATCCATCCAGGTTGTTCAAATTGGAAAGCTCCAGGTTCATTGGGAGAGCCTGTCTCAAAGCATGAGATGGAAAAGAATTGGGAAAAATCCCTAACACATCTACCTCTGACCTCTACACACACCGCACACACAGAGAAACATATACACATACATGTACCACACAAACAAATAGTGAAAGAATGAATTCAGTATTGGAATCCTGAAGAGGCTCTAGTGCACAAGAATATGCCACAGTGTAAACAAGAACATTTACCAAGAAGGCATATGAGGCCCATACTTGGACTCACTCTATCACATTAAATGTCAGGATGGTCTGTGTTATCTCTATATTCATGTTCTACAGTGTGATTCAGTCTTAGGAATAGCTTATAAGCTTTAGGCTATTACTTTTCTTCTTGGGATTTGAGATACTAATGCACCACCATTCTGTTCCATTAACAGAAAAGGTTTCAAAATACTGTGATGAAAATGGAGAATGGTTTAAACACCCTGACAGCAATCGAACCTGGTCCAACTATACTCTGTGTAATGCTTTCACTTCAGAGAAACTGCACGTAAGTTCTGTTTAAAAGTTCAGTATTGGGTGAGGGTGCCATTGTTCATACATGGAAAGGGATGTAAAACTGAAATATCTGCTACCAAAAACCACAAAAGCAAGCAAAAGACCAACAGATTATAATGTACAGAAATCAGGCTTCTGAAGGACATTAGAGAAAGTAGTGTCTCCCTTCTTGTTGGTACCCAGTATCAGTACTTCGGCTTGAATGTGGAATCAGGCCAATTATGACAAAGATAATACTGTACACAGAGCAGATGATGGGATTTCCTCTGATGCCAGAAATTAGGCAGCATTTTAGGGAGCTCACTAACACATCTTTCTGAGAGAGTTCTAGAACCTTTGATTTACAGAGAGCAACAAGCTAGTTACCTTCTCTTCACACACATGTTGGATATGATCTTAACTTTACTATTGGATATGGTGGAGCCTCCCATCAGCCCACTGATATAGGGAGAGCAGTTCAGACAATTTTCAGAGATGTCAACTCTGATTTGTTAATACCTGTGCCTTATAGGCTGTGAAAATTTTTTAATAATATCTTGGCTTAAAAGTGTTTAAGTCCATTGAGGAGGGAAATAGATACTACTTTGTCTTTAGCTACATTAAAAATCTGAACATATTACTAAATCTACCACCAGCTCCTTTACCCTTGAGAGATAGGAGAAATAACATCAATATTTAGCTATAAAGAGAATCTTTGAAGGACTCTGCCAGCTACAACATGGGCCAGTCATTTCCGTCAAAGAGAGGCCTATGCATTAAGTAACTACTGAGTCAGAAACTAAAACCACTTCATGCCTTGTTTTGCTGTTGGAAAGTTCAGAAGCACATAAGTGTTTTCCTTTATTAAAACTGCAACAAATAACACGACAAAACCAAAGTGGGCCACCTTCAAGATCAGATGAGCTCACCAAAGCCCTTTACAAATGCTTAGCTCTTCCATGTCATAGATATATGTCTGTACCTAATGGAGAACTAGTCACTTAACAAAGTCTGATAGAAATGATGTGGCTGTGAAAGGAATTTCATGGGTGTGTGCTAATTAGGTTTATATAGAACATTAAAACTATGTTAGTTAGAGTATGAGGAGCAATGGAAATCTAAATAAATTACTTTCGGTGTTGTAAGAAAGAAATGGTTGTGAGAAGAAATACTCACCTTCAGGTACCAGACATAAAAAACAAACTATAATGTTATGAATTTACTGAGGAAGATATTAAGTCCACTAACATAAGAGCAGGAGAACAGAAATAGGTTAATTGTGGTGATAAAAAGAATAGAATTAGCAAATTTCTTTCAAAGAGAATGTTGTCTTCTTCAGCCAAGAAAATACTAATGGAAATTTCCAATTTTATTTAAATTGATACGTAAAGGTATATATCTTTGAATTTTAAGTTAATTAAAAGTGAAAAACTCTACACCAATTTTCCTAATCTCTAAGTTGCTCTAAGTGTCAGGGGTCTGAAGAATCTGGAAAGATTTTTCATCTACACTTCAGTGAATCAGATATACTTGTTGCTCATGACAGGACCCCAGAACTCAAAATCTGCCAAGATTGCTTACTAAGATTAGGGATAATAGCTTTCACTTAAAAATCACTTCTGCAGTATTTTAAATGGTATTTGTCTCAAGAACTTTGGCCTTGAAAGTGACTCAGTTTGTTCCTATGTGTACCGTTAATACAGAAAAAAGTAATTTCATCCTCTGAAATATTTGTTATTATTTTAAGATATATTTTAAGGATGGACCTTTATTGATTGATGCTTACATTTAGAAGCAGAAACTACTGTTCCTTCCACAGTCTACTTAGATGTTTTTCCAACCCTTTCTGTTCTAGAATGCATACGTCCTGTACTACCTGGCGCTTGTGGGACACTCCATGTCGATTGCTGCTTTGGTTGCTTCCATGGGGATCTTCTTGTTTTTCAAGTAAGTACATTTAAAATACCACTTTATTGTTATTCTAATGTGAGCTTTACGTATTTGTTCCCAGCAAGATAATATCATAAGAAGAATTCTTGAAATGCCATCCTCCATCATCATCATCATCATTTTATTATTATTAATTTTCCAGTTACATAAATAGCAGTAATTCTTGAAAGAGTAGGGTTGTGGGGACTGTAGGAACGTGTGCCATTGGGCATGATAAATTAGCAAGAAAGCAGAAATAAGCTAAATATACTTGGAATTCTACTCTGAAGAGCATAAGATCTATTCCTTATCATCTTTAAATGCAATGTACCTCCTTCCCATATTAATTCTGAAAACTCATAAGGACCCTGTGGTCATACAGTAAAAGTTCCTTTACCAGTTTTCTTGCTAATTTTCAGCCTTGATACAGGGTGGGGGAGGGGGGACTTTGTCCTTTTTAATGTGCCAGGTTTTGTTGACTCCCCACGGGAGACCTTACACTTTCTGAGTAGCTGAAGAGAGCAGGATAAGAGGAGAAGGGGGCAGGGGGAGGAGAGGAGAGGAGAGGAACTGTGGTTGGTATGTAAAATGAATAAAAAATAAAATCAAAAAATAAATTAAAAACACACCCATGAAAAATATCTAGAATAAATACAAGTTTTCTTAAAAATAAATAAATAAAAGCCAAATCCCGAACAACAGCTAAATATCTGATATGTACAATAGGTGCTATGGAAATTCCATAAAATTCCCAACTTGCAGGGAAGAGGGTATTTATTTTGTTCATGTAAATATTTCCTTCATAGAGATGCTTACCACCAATAGTTGACAAACACAAATGCCAAAATGGTGAAATAGCTTATAGAAATTGTTTAGCAATTGCATCTGCTATGACTTCACAGGCACATTGGTTTTATTATAAATAATAAGTGACCAGAGCAGGGTATCTCTGCCAAAACTAATTCAAATGGTGTTCTTTTTTCTTTAATACATGAACAATTTAAGCAGAAACAAACATGAGAAAAACACATACAATGTATTTAAGACATTGTGTCCTCTTTAGATGACTTTAAATCTTTAGAAATCATTTAAGTAGCTGTATGCTTTCTATTATGAACTCTTGGAGCTGGAAAGTGCTTACCATGAGAGTATGAGGGCCTTAAGTAAAGATTCCTGGCACCTATGTAAAAATCCAGGTACAGCTAGCTTGTCTGTAACCCTGGCACTGGGGGACCAGTAGAGGCACATGGTTACTAGATCCCAGTGTCCAATCTAGTTGAAAGGGCAAGGTCCAGGCTCAATGGGAGATGATGTCTCAAAAAGTATAGAACACCCTGAGAAGGCTCAAAAGTTGACCTCTGGTCTCCACACTCATGTGTATGCAGCTGTATTCTCACCTCTCCAGACACAGGAATACACCTATGCATACTTCAAGTTAGAAATGCTTATGCACATTGAACATTTATCAAAATAAAGCACCCATAATTTATGCCTCACTGGCTGTGTTACCTATATTTACCAGTGTGAATTTAAAGTAACCCACATGTGCATTCTTTATAGAGACACTACTACAGTTAAGTAAATAAGTTGAAACTAAAAAAAAAAAAAAAAAAAAAAAAAAAAAAATTGGTAGGAACAATCCGGGATTTAGAGTACTTATTGACACAAAATAAATGCACATATATATATATATATGTGTGTGTGTGTGTGTGTGTGTGTTTAGCATAATTATCAATGCTATCACCACTGTTGTTGTTGGTATTAATAACAACTGTGGAATGATACAAATTCTGGAGAGCTTTCTTTGAGTTCCAAATCCAAATAATCCTCCATGCTCAAGTGATATTACATGTTATCAAATATATAATGACTCATAGATAGAATAATAAAATGCTAATTTGATTTTTATTAAAATATTGCCTTGATAATACTAAAGATAATTAATACAAGGGGCAAATAATCACCTGTAAACACATACTTAGCAAGATACCTTTCCTTGATCCCTTTTACATCTATATTTCTGCCATACTCACAATTCTTATATTTTAAATATTACACTAATATTAGTGATTAGTAAATGACATAAGCAAATCATCAATAAGCTCCTTCCATGGGAGGTTAACAGAAGAAGGCAACAAGACAAGAGAATTAATTACTGGAATTAGAAGAGCATTTTCAATTATAATGATCAGATCGTAGTAGAGTAATTACAACACATGATTAATTTTGGAATGTCTCTTCATTTCTCAATTGCTCTTCACCATGGTAAATAAATAAATCATCATGACTCACAACAGCTTTCATTAAAAAGCATGACGCTCAAAGCCCACCTTTGAGTTCTTTTTTAATAAAACCACAAGAAAAGTGAAAGAATGAAAAATCTCCAAAATTCTAATCACACACAATAATAAATGTAGCCGTGGCTCAAAGATAAGTGGCAGAGGCCACTTTTGAGTCCCTGTTTTACTAGTTATTTAAATGTGCAAGAAGGTATGAGAGTCAAATAAAAAAGAAAATAAGAATGGTCTTTGAACCATTGTTTCTATATTAAGCTACTCAAGATGAATGTCTATAAATTCAGTACGTGGGCAGAGTCAAAGTATTCCTCAAGTCAGTCCCAAAAGAAAATGATTCTTGTCATACCCTTCACTTAGCATCGGCAGATCATCTGGGAAGAATTGAATGTAGTTCACTGCCTACCAATTCCCAGCGCCTACTAAACTTAAACCTAGGAAGGAGAGACACATATAACTGATTTACAGTCTGAGTCTGATAATGAGGAAACACAAGATGAAGTATCTAGTTCTTCAGGAAAGCAACAAGAAGAAATGATGATAAACACAGAACATAACTACCGTAACACCAAAGATCCACACCCCAAAGCAGTTGTCCACACTTTTGTTCTTGTTTTCAGATGTTTCTTTCAAGTACCTAACCAAAACTGATAAGGACATTTGTTTTGTTAAGATTAAACAATGTGACTGGCTCTTCTAATGGTTTCATGTATTTGCGTTTTTAAATCATTAAGGGTGAATTGTGAAAGTAAAGAATAATGCTGACCTGTCACTAGAATCTGTCTTTTAACTAGCTAAATTTCCCAGCATTTTTTCAGACAATCAACATCACTTTTAAGATCCTTAGTGCACAGTATAATGGAAAGCCTTATGATATGTGCACTTAAATTGAGTCATTTATGTGGAACCTGTGCAAAACAAAATCATCAATTTTTTGCTTAATTCTGTGCTTGTGGTGATATCTTTCTTCCACAAATAAAGCCTGTAGGGTCAGAGATTGCAGCAGCTTGCCACTAGCTAATCATAGAGGTCTGGAAGACTGGTACCTCATTCAAAATCATCCAATTGAAATCCCACTCTGAAGCCATCAGGACTCTTTAAACTTGTCTTACTGAGTCAGTTCAAGGGAGGAACCCTGCAGGCATCTTCAAGCCAACAGGCTAAAGAAACCTGCAGAGAAATTAAAAGTGACTGATTATTCAGGAGGCTGTGAAGGAGCCCATCCTTTACTAATAATTTTGAAATATTACTTAGAATTAGACCATTAAAATATGTCCCTGATCCAAATGTGATATATTTATTCTGAATATACAAAGAAAGGTATAAGGCAAGTGTGTAACCTTGAAACAAATAAATATAATGCTTTTTGTATCACTAGAAACTTTATGTTAAAATAAATATAAAATTCATGCTTGTAGAGGAAAAATTAAGTTGCTCTGTTTTCTTCCCTCACTATATAAAGGATTTAGTGGCTTAAAGATCTTATCTGTGTAAAAATTTGAATAATATTCAGGATTCTCTGCAGTTTATAATGTTTGCCAGTTAATGAAATAGAATAACGTCTTTTTGGATGGCATTTGGTCTATGACCTTTGCTGGAAAAATAAAAATAACAATAGAAAAATTAAATATGAGCATCAGACTATTCCAGCAAAACCTGTCACAAGGAAGCAATAGCAAGCTTCCACAGAGCTACAAAAGGAGACCCTGGGGAAACAAGTGGCCGGGCCACTCATTTGAATTTGGTTCCTGGTGATTTCTAGCAGGGTCACAATAAGTTCACATGTACTGTATGTTCTGCCAGTGACTCATCATTTCCATGAAATAATTTTAAATACTAAGCATACCACTTGTTCTATCTAGACATGCATATTAGAAAATCCATTAGCCTTCATTGTGACTGATTGGTACCCATACTTTTATGACTGCTAAATATCATATTTAAAAATATCCATTATGTTTTGTGATTTATAAATACATATCTAAAGACAGAGCATGTCTCCTCGGTTGACAAAAACATGTGTAATCATGGAGATGTTAAAAACAGCTCTCCATGGGGCATCTGGAAGAAATATTTATCATATACAAAAACCACTTGTCAACCCCTGCCATATTTGCATATTGTATGAAGAAGCAATCTTGTCTTGTGCAGTGTTCATCATTATACTTCTCTGGAGGACTTTCTGGTCCTCCAGAAAGACCACTCAATTGACAGTATCAAACATTTCTGCTTTCTTGAAACTTCTTATTACCAATAGCAAAGATAACTGTTATGACTAACCAAGGTATAGTATTCATGCAGAAACACAGAGTATGAAGAAAGAGAGAATGGAAGAGGAATTATTTGAGTATAAGGATTTGTACTGAACCCAAACATATACATTTCCTTGTCATTTAAGACCTGTCTGTATATGATTACTTCACGTTGAACTTTTGGAACTTTCAAACTTCTATTTTCATGTGAACATCAACATTAGCTAATATGTCCAAGTCAATGAAGTAGAGAGGAAACCCAGAAACTTGTTTTGTGCACATAAGATAGGAAAAGATTGTGCCAAACAGGAGTAGCGGCTGTCAATCTCATCAGATCCAAACCACAACTGGCCTCACCATGAGAGTGAATCTGATCCCATTTAGAGCTCATTGTTGGTGTCTAAGCTCCGCCATCAGGAAATGACAAAAGAGGGATGATAGCAAGCACTGGACATGGATCCTGTGCCTTGTCACCACAGTTGTGACCACACTGTCCTCTTATTTGCTGCATGCCTTGTGCTTGCTCGCAGCAATGGACAGTAGACTTTGGATTGTAAGCACATACAAAACCCTCATTGTTACTTTACTAATGACCTTTCTCTTAATTAATTCTATAGCATTTATTATCATTAAAAGGAATTTTCCCACTCAATCTTCCAGCTATTATAGGAAGCCACTATGAGAAAAGAAAGTCACTAAATGCCAATGGAAAATGGATTTTAAGGCTTTCCTTTGAAAATCTGAATTATTCAACTTTCTCATCAAGAAATGTCTACATTTTTACAACACTTAATGCTTCTTATATTGTTTTTTTCCCAGGAACCTTAGATGCCAAAGGGTAACGCTGCACAAGAACATGTTTCTTACTTACATACTGAACTCGATCATTATCATCATCCACCTGGTTGAGGTTGTGCCCAATGGTGATCTGGTGCGACGGGATCCAGTAAGCACTATCGGACTTTGATTTTAATTTTATTGTAAAGAACATAGTACCTATAGATATTGAACATAATGCTAATGGTTGACTTGATCAGTTGCTTATAATCATATTTATGTCTGTAGTTGAGTTTTGCAGTAGAAAAGCCTATTAGTGGTTCATGAAAGTAATTGTTACATGTTAAAGGGGTGGGAATAATTGAAACATAGCTAAATAAGAACTGTGCAATGAATCATGTTTTATGACTAACCAGTAATTTATCAGTGTTAATGATCTATTAAAATCTATGGAAAGAATATTGAGCACTTTTTGGGAATGCAAATAATACTAGGCACACTGTACCAATGTAATAGTGCTTCCCAGTAAACCTCAGTTTGCTACTGATTATTATACATGGGCCAAGATAGCAATTACTTCATTGTTATGCCACTAAGAATGGTTTTGCAGTCATCTAAGCTGAATTACCCAAACATGATCAAGTTCTCTGTCTACATGCTTGGAAAAAAATCCATACTAACATAAAGAAATCAAAAAAACCCTAAGGTCTACTAGACAGATAGACATGAAACTCATGCCATGTGCACCAGGATTCTATGTATTATAGAAAAGTCAAATCACTTGGCTCTAACACCAAGAACTAGCATGGATTCCTTTTGCCAAAATTTTCCTGAGGGTTGCTTACAATAATTCACACTTGTCATTAACATTCTTTCTTTTTCTCTAAGATTGTGCTCCTCATAATGGTTTCTGAATGTGACTACGCATTAGTCAACTGGGGAAATATAAATATTAGCTAGTTGCTATTCGCGTGATGCTGAAGTTCAGTTGCTATAAAGTCAATTCAAGAAAAACAGTTTAATGATGTAATTATTACATTGCATTTGAAATTGCCAATATTTGATCATCTTTGTTCTGAAACATTGACAGATGCATATATTTCATCATAACACACATATGTGGACAATGCAGTGGGAACTGTCACCACCCTTACCCCTGAGTGCAAAGGAGGGAAAGATGGACCCTAATGACAGTGAAGTGGTATGAGGAGAATTGACCTTCAGAAACTCGGGACTTCTGTCTCCAGACACAACCAGCCTGGGACAAAGCCACAAAGGGTGGCATGGGCGGGGGTTTGCTTTCTTGTAATTCATTCTCATCTACTAGTTTGTGTAAAGGGTCCCATAGTAACTGAGATGAATCCAGAAACTAGAGATCAAGGAAGTCCTAATAGATGTAGACAGATGTTTGAATGTACCCAGAGCAGTGGGAATGGGGAGGAGAGGGAACCTGAAAGCAGAAACTGAAGCCATCTAGCACACAGGACTGGCCAGGGCATATTTTAACTTTTGTTTCTCTGCTTAACTGTATTATCCAAGCATCTGTAGATAGCCTCATCTTTCAAATCTGGCATTTGACAGTTCTGCCAACCCAATGACAAAAATGCGTGAAATCTGCCCAGAGCATGCATCCTGCATAACAGTGGCATAGCATGGGAAAGAAGTTTAATTTGGCTTCTAATGAAATCCAGTGTTAATCATTTGCCATTTGAATATATTCAGAAAAGCATGGTGTTTCTTCTTTAAAGTCCCTGCCATCTGCTAATGGACACAAAGTCTTGTCTTATCTGAAGAATTATGTAACCAAAAGGGTTTTCCTTGATGACTTTTCTTTTTAAACTCCAACTGAAATAAAATTAATCTCATTTAATTTAATGCTAACAACATCTCCAGTGAGAAGTGGATATTACTCTGCTTTCAAAGTTAGGAAACTAAAGTTCTGTGAAAGCAAATTTCTTGCCTGTTATGCATACTTGGAGATAGGATTCGAAGATAGCCCAATCTCATTCAATCCTATCTTTCTTTCCTACACTCTTGACGGCCTGTTATTTTCTTATGTTCTTGGGAAAAAAAATGTCTCATCCATTGCATTGCTTCTCTGTAATTAGCCATGCATTGTATGGTTTCTTAATGAGCCAACCCCATCAAGTAGAAGCAATGCATAAACCATCTCTCAGGACTGTCAGAGTTTTGGCTTTTTCATTTCTCATTAAAGGGTATCACTTCAGTTATTGAATAACCAACCACACTGACCTGGGATTGTTGCTCAGTCACATTGTGAAGTACTTATGCTCACAAATAGATTTTCTCCCATCTGTTCAGCTTGCCCCTCTGCTGTTACTAGCAAAGAGGAACCTCACAGTTTGTGAGATCTTGCTGACCTTGTTATCATCTTGAAATACTCTAAAAAGCTAGTCTCTACCCCATTACCAAGTTTACTAATAAATTGTAGAAACAGGTGGAAACTTATCCATCAAATGAGAATTAAAAAAAAAAACACTCTGCATGGTTTTAAGGAGTATTCCTAGAATCTAAAAGAATGATTAACACTTTTAGGATCCCCAAGAGCATAACACTGTAAGCTCACAAGGTTTCTGCTAACTGTTACCTTGTGCCTAAGTCCATGCATCTCTGTGCTTGGCATTTCCAACTAATTTATTACACAACTTCTTATTCATAATAGTCTTATTAGCTATCTTTGCTAAATGCTTTAACTTTCATAGGCTGTCTTAGTGGAAGACTTGCCAAGGCACTTTTCTAGTCAAGCTGTTCTTAAACACCACCATATCATCCTGTATCTATTCTGTGGCTCCTCCATTACCCAGAACCTTTACTGAAGCTGGTGAGCAGATGTCTGGAGAGCTGGCTTGGCCATTGTGCTGCTGACTTCCTGGGAAAATGTCAGTGAGATCTTAGGGGAGCCAGAGAAATAAACAGAAGGCTTTTCTCTGGTGTTTAGGAATGAGGTTGATTCTCTCATATGCATTAGGGTAAAAGGATAGAAGTTTATCCTGGTGTCATTAACAAAAACCTGGTTCTGCCATTTGCAATCCAACAAACTTACTAGTTTAAATATATAAGAAAAAAATCTCCTATTGAAAAACTATGGAACACTATAACCAAGGATAATTTTATCCAATCAGTTGTTTACTGAGCACTCAAGATTCGAAGGTTAGTCCTCAGTCAAGACAGAAGTGATAGGTGACAATATGTCTCTCTGCCATCATCTCCACTGTCTCTAGGAATGACCCCAGGCTCACATGGAATACTATGTTTTGCAGCCACACTTGTGTTTGTAATTTGGCCTGTTTTGAAAAGTGGCTGCTTTTATCATGGAAAAAATAAAAGAACACAAATCTGTATATCTTTCTCTGTGTCTAACAATGAAACAACTTTTTGTCTAAAGCTAGACGAAATGAGAATGGGCTGCCTGTATCAGCTCAATTACATGGTAAATAAGTGATGCCATGATGTGTTCTCTTTCATAATTCCAAATGCCTGTTTCATCCCTGAGAGAAAGTGTGGGAACCCAAACCTCTAACCAAACCATTTAAATAGTATAGGCTAAAAGTAAATGATTACAATTCTAAAAGTTAACCCAGGCCTGTAAACTACACAGTCAACCCTTTTCCCAGAAGAAACCAATTCTTCAGATGCTTTTCTCTGTTTGAATAGTTACTGTTTACCAATGCGAACTAGCTAAAGTGGACCCTTCATAAGCAAGTAACATAGGGCCACTCACTCTAGGGAAGTAAAATTGCTTCAGGAATTTTCTTAAACAGGAATATTTGAAATGTGTCTGGTCCTTAAAGCCATTCTCTGGAAGATGCAAGGTGAAATTTGTATTCTCTCACCTTGCAAATGTATAGTCGATCACAAGTATATATATGAAAGTCCAATTTCTGGGAATCTTTTCCCATCCAGAACATTATTTCTATGGTTATAGTAGACCCCATAATTTAAGTATGAGGAAAGAGGACATTTTTCCTCTTGCCAGAGACTTGAGTAAGAGGGAACCGATGATAACAAGAAAGACTCAGCTGTATTTCCCAGGCTCCCTCTTTCTTGGAAGTAAAGTTCTCCTTTCTCATGAGATAGCCACACAGTATCCAAAGTCCAGCAACCAAGATGTTCTCAATCCTACTAAACCAAATGTAGAATCATGCATTGAAAGTTACTTTAAGGTAGTAATTTGAAGTATCTCTCTTTAAAAAATAAATAAATAACAACCCAAGTAGTATTAAATCAAGGTGCTCCTGTCACCATAAAAAATAGAAATGAGGAAGAAAAAATTGCAAACAATTAAATAGGAAAGAAAATGTAACAAAAAAAATCTTCTGGGAAGGGAATGTTATCAAGCATTGCCAGTCTACAAATATTTATTGAAATATAATGTGAGAATTATAGCTATGACCAAAAGCTGAAGTAAAGCTAATTCACCAGTCCACTTCCATTTCTGAAAATTATATGGACATCTGTCTCCTTTAAAGAAGAACACAATACTTAATTTTCAATGACATTTTTCCCTCCTAACCAAAACTCACTAAATCAGAGAAGGGACACATTTTTTCCACTTTGTCCCTATTCTCAAGCCACTGAGTCAGTACCCAAGAGGCACAAATCTTTTTCTATCCAATAACTAAAGGAGTATATTAAAAAGAAGAAATTCATTCTTAATGAGAGAGGTCATCTCATCTCATATGTACCACATGTGGTACATAATAAAAGATCTCCTAGGAGATCTTTTATTTAACTGTGAAGGAAGGAAAGGGCATGGAACATCCCACTCAACAGTGGTGAATCTCTGTCACTCTGTGGCACCTTCTCCATCAAGGTAGTCACTTCCTCCCTTCAAGATTTTTGATAGGTTTGTTCTCTCCTATATTACCCAAGATGAGATTCTTATTCCTCTACTCTCTTCTATTTTGTTTTTTTTTCCTCAAGTTAAATTCAAAATAACTCATGCCATAAATAAGGGCTGAATAGATCCTCAGTTTACTGAGTGATAAGAAAATTGCCCATTGTCATTGAAGCATTTCATTTCCATAATATCTAAATTTTCACTTTTCTTGTTCTATCTGTTCATTCAATGATCTCCGTGTAGAGTCAAGAGGCAGCTTTTAAAGCATTGTTCTTTTGCATCTGAACAAAGCTGAACAAAGAAATATCTGTCTGAACTTTCTATCTGGCTCTAAAGGGGACAATATGGGGAGATTGGTTTTTACTGGAAACCTGAGCACTTTGCACCTCCAAAGCTGAGACAATCAGATTGTATTTTTTTAGTGTCTTATCTAAGTAAAGGCAAAAGAGTCCCAAGCTCAAAAATGGCATGATTTTCTTCTAACCCTCGCTCGTCCAGTACAGTTGAGCCACCAGACTGTACCACAGCATCATCCTAAGAGATTACAGAAAGGTCAACCTGAAAGGGTGCTCAGAATCTAGATACTGGGATTGTAAAATCCAGGGTGGATGACAGAAGCTGCTGGTACAAGGCAGAGCATATGAATGACGGAGAGAGAACTGAGAGGACAGGCTGGAATGGAAAGTTCACAGTAGGTTAAACCAGATGGGATTACCCATTTCAATATCCTCTGGGAGAGCAGACTGGAAATAAACATGTAGAGTGGCTTTGCTGGGGGGATGTAGGAAAATAACACCAAGATGTGTCCCTATAATTGACAGTCACCCCTGGCCTACTATTTTCATTTTACATAAACAGCAAAACCAGTTCTGTGAAGAAAAATGCTTCTTTAAAATTTGGTTTATGCTCAGCCAGCCATTATACTCATCACAAAGTATTATAAATTATGTCTGATTTAAAAGAAAGTGGCTCTAGCTGAATAGTTCCTATATTGAATAATATTAGAATAATGCAATTACAGTGCCCTAAAAGTAAAGCAAAGTCTGTTGTTCTCAGAATGGGGAAGTGCTTAGGTTCTCGATAGACAGATAGCTAGATAGACAGACAGACAGATAGATTAGATTCCACCTGATTGTATATTTTCAAAGGAATCCAAGAGAATGATTAAATCCAAATAATGGAGATTTAAAGGGCCAACAGTCCAACTGGGAATTTGTACTTTTAATTTAGCTATGTAAAGTACCTATTCAAACAAACAAAATGAAAAAACTTCAAAGGAGTATAATGGAATCTAGACTCTAAACCAGAGAATCCACAACATCCCAATATGTATGATATCTAGAAATAGGTCAAAGATACCAAATGAAAAACAAATTTAGAAAATATGACTCACTGTCAAGACAAAGTAAAGCTGGGATTGTTGGCTCACACCTGTAATCCCAACTCTCAGGAAACTGAAGCATGTGTGTAAAGTTTGCCTGGGCTACAAGAAAGAAAATGGAATTAAGATCAACTGTTACTTGATCCAGATTTAAAATTATTGAACTGTATAGTAGTCGTATAACTATGTAAAAGTTGTGAGTGAATGGGAAGGCAAGAAATCTTAACCAGAAAAGTTGAAATTACTAAAATTAAATGACATGGAAATCCTAGAACCAAAAACTACGTAGAAATTCTAGGACCAAAAAGAAAAGGAACTGAAATTTAAATATGTTACTTTAGGTTAGCTTATTTGCAGGACTGAGAGCACAAAAGAAAGATTCAGCAAAATTAATGCTTAACCAAGAGTAACTATCCAATGTGAAGAATACACATAAAATGCCAGGGAGATGAGTTGTCCCAAGGCCATGTAAACCAAATACATAAAAATTTAAAAAACTGATACCATGAATACCATGAAGAAACAACAAAGAACTTACTGGAAGAAAAGTGAAGCTAAAAATGTTTCCAACTTTATTAAGGATAAATTGTCTTAACCAAAATTCACATCTTGAACAAGGAATTCAGGTGAAAATGGTCATAATTCTTGCTGCAAATATTTTAGTTTCAGAAGATACCAACAAGTGAAAATATACTATGTCCAATTTATTTACTTCAGAAAGTCAATGCATCTAACAGGAAAAGCCAGAACATACCAAATTAAGTTCAAGGGAACTTTATTATCTTAACCATAAATATTTTTGAATTGTCAATTTGACACCTGAAAATTGTTTTGTTTGTGGAAAAACAAGGCATAGTGGAATTGTAATATACATTTACTCAATAAAGGAATCTAGAAAAATGGGTTAATAGAAGTCAAAGTGTTGACCAGTAGACAGTTTCTGTGTGCACCCAATGGAAAATGGAAATACACATAGCAATTTTTTGAAAAAACTGCTGTGCAAAGTCAAACAACTCTCCTACCAGAGATACAGGAGAAAACTAGCAGGGTTTATCTGGGTGTTTTATTTAGGAAATTCCATCATCAAAGAATACCCTTTCTGGGTACTTAGAAAAACATGACAAAGATCCAAAATACAAGTAACATAAAAATTCAATTTAGGGGAGTTTAGCCCAACATTACACATTTTCTATGGATGTCAGCAGCCTGACCCCGTCAGATATGTTCTGATCTCTACAAATATTACAAAGAATTTCAGTACTATTTAATTAAAATAACCTAATAATTGAATCGACATAGACCACAAATCTTTGGTGTTTTCACACATCAATTTAAATGTTTAAAAGTTGAACTATTGATCCATCTTTCATTGAATAAGTAAACATAGCTTCTCTCTCCTAGTTTTGTATTAAAATGAACTGATGAGAAAACATTTTCAGAAGCTCCAGCAAACTGTAAATAAACATGCTGACTTGCTGGAGATCACTTGAATGAGCAACAACATTTATTTCTGTTTTAAAAACAAGACTTGGCAGAAGTAATATTGGAAGGTTTAGTTCAGGAGTTAGCAGACTAGCCCATTCCAAACTAATATTTTAAACACTGAATTTTTTATAGTAAGCAATGTAGTCTAAAAGGTTTGCCATATTTCCTTAGGAACTTGTTTGTCCCTCAATAACTAAAGAAAAAGGAGCAAGATTCTTTGTACTCGCTCTGTTTTGCTTCAATATTTTCATAAGGAATTGAAAAGTAATTTATAGACAGCCACCTGTCAGTATAAAATAGTACACATTGCAGCCCCCAGACCCACAAAAGTGCAAAGGCTAGTGTGTGAGCAAAGTGCTTTACAGTATTGACCAATGTGGTCAGTTTTGACACAATAAAATACTCCACTCCTTGCTGGTTGTCCACAAATTGAGTATAGAATTTAATGTTCTTGAAACAAGCCCCTCTAGTTGGCTTCATTGATTCTCCTAAATGCCAGACTTTGTTATGTACTCGAGAAAACAATTGTTAAAATAATTTAATACTCAGGTTAACTAGAAAATATATATTTCTAGAAGTCATTGTGCATGATTACATTTGTTTACTTGTCTGTCTTGCCACCAGAAGGCCACTTCCTTAACCATAAGCATTGAACTCTGCAAGAATAGAACCTTTAAGGAATATATGACTATTATTTTTAATTTTCCCATGCTAAATTTGTTTTAAGGCAAAACAAAAAAAAAGTCTTGATATGCTTACGAAGAAAGTATTAAATACATTTCTTTCAAGTAGTTATTATGCTGTGGGCCAAGCATTCAATATCAATAAATCAATAATATATATATATATATATATATATATATATATATATATATATAATAAGGTGTCTTACACAAAACATATAAGACAAAAGCCATATATTAGTTACTTCATGAAAATGTTGTGACCAGAGTCTCAAAGAGTACTCACCTTGTATTATGCCTAGATGGATGACTTAGTGCTTGCTAATTCAGTTTTTATAATGACTTCTCAAAATGTAACTGCTAAGAATAATGAGAATGAGCTTGGTTAAACACAAAACCTCAGCTACTCTGGATCACATAGGCAAAGGCCATCTCCACCTACTTATCTCCTCCCTCACAAGAGAAAAATCACCACAGTCTCTAGCAATCCAGGGGTCACTGACATTTCAAAGAGTAATCTACAACAGGAATCTAGAATCTCAAGGGAACTTCTCATTTTACTAATGCTTGGGTGTCCTGGAGCCATCATAGGAAGTGTTTACATATCACTTCCCACCAAATGAATTACAACTCATGCATTCAATAGAAACTTACAAGCCCAGAAAGGTGCTTTGAATGAAAGACACTTCATTTTACATTGCTTTATGAAAGGAAAATTGAAATCCAGCTAGACTCAAAGCTTCCCCTAGGAGGAGCAATGTAATAGAATACTTGCCATTTTGTAAAATAATAGCTGGGCAAACAACCACTTCCATTTACTTAAAATAAGAATTCTGAGTCTTTTCATTGCCTGGTGGTGGTTGGAAGTTAATCAGTGCTAGGTGTCCCCTGGTGGGGTTCTTAACTAGAGACATTCTACCCACCAAGAACATTTGGAAGCATTCAGAGACATTTTCATCATGAATGGGTGAAAAATGTTATAGGCATCTCCTAGATAGAGGGCAGAAACACTGTTAACTGCCAATAAGCCCAGGGGGGACCTCTCACAACAACACCAACTATCTAGCCCAAAATGTCAGCAATGTCAAGATGAAGAACCTTACTCTAGAATGACAAAGGGAATAACAGAATATTATGTTATACCGTTTGTGGTTTTCCTATACAGCTGGTTAGGAGATCTGTGATTAAATCTACACTGGTATGCTTCCTAAGGCTTAATCCTAATGTACAGAGAGAATTTGGCAAATACTTGGTTCCTACTATAGAAAACGGGGCTACATATGAAACAAACTGGAATCGGCATGGCTCAGGTCCATACAAGAGATCTCTCTGCCCTGGCCCATCTCCTCTGTAGGGTTAGGAAGGCATTGGTAACAGATCAATCAGCTTCAGAAGCATCACTTAAAATGTCAAGGGTTATTTGCCTCATGGACCATAGCATAGGAGGGAGAAAGCGTAAAGAAGTCATATGGCAAACACTAGGATGCTCTTCAGCATCATCAGTCTCAGACACCTTGTAGGAAAATGAACGTCTCTAGTCTAGATAAGTCTCCAGAATTTAATGGCCTCAGCTTCCAATGGCCCATGTGGCTATTTACATACAATACTTGTGACTTACACAGCATCCCTTTGAATTGTAAATACAGAGGGCACACATTAGCAAATACGCAGGGTGATTCTTGAGAGTTCAATGCAGATACTGTGGTTCATAATTGTACTCCTCCCTTACCACTGCATCTATGGCCATGCCTTCCCCTGAGTATCTCCATTTGTTTCTAACAGATAAGCTGCAAGATTCTCCACTTTTTCCACCAGTATATGATGGCCTGCAACTATTTCTGGATGCTCTGTGAGGGGATCTACCTGCACACTCTCATCGTGGTGGCTGTGTTTGCTGAGGAGCAACGCCTGCGCTGGTATTACCTTCTCGGCTGGGGTATGTATTTCACACAGTTGGCTTTTGAGCTAGGTCCACCTGGACTCACAGGTGTATAGCCTTCTGCTAGTCTCGACTTCAGGAAACATACCCGGCATTCCTGCCTTTGGCAGAGCCTCTCTCACAACTTTCTGAAACACAATTGATGGGATTTTTCCATAAGTGTTTCAAAAGTATCTACTTGTCAAACTCAAAATCAAAATATCCTATGAAAAAAAAACACTGGCTATAAATTTATTCTTGCTTATGACATTTAGCTGAGATAGGGGTACCTTGGAAGGAACATTTACATTTGTCTTTCCATACGGGTGCACTGGAAATTAATGATAAAGCTTGCTGGCATCTTTGTATACATCTCAATTTGTTATCACATAACAAATACAAAGAAAAAAAAAAGAAGTAACTTGTTTGCCTGTATCAAAAAGGAATAATAACAAAGTATTCATACAATACCTTAATCTTCTTTGATCAGCAAATATTTAAAACTTCATTAGCATGAGCCAAGTAGAATCAAAGAATATTACACTCACAGTAGACACAGAACAGAGCATTGCTGTTCAATGCTGCCTAAGGCAGTAGATCTCTTGTTCAATATTCTAACCACAGGAAGGAAAAAATTTCAAAAGGGAGGATTTGCTCTTCACACACAGACACACACACATACACAAACAAAGGTAAAACTAAAATCCACCACATTCCTTACCATTAAAGATACTCACAACCCAGACCCCCTGAACGTGGGTGTCAGGAGAACTGGGCAATCTATGGGGCCTCTGGTAGTGAATCTGTATTTATTCCTAGTATACAAATGGACTTTGAGAGCCCATTCCACATAGAGGGATATTCTCTCAGCCTAGACACATGGGGGAGGGCCAGACCCTGCTCCAAATGATATGACAGACTTTGAAGATTCCCCCATGGAATCTTCACCCTCCCTCACCCTCCCTGGAGGCAGAAAGAGGATAGGATGGGAGTTAGGGGAGGGGACAAGGGAGGGCTGGAGGGGGTCAGGAACTGAGATTGAAATGTAAAACAAGCTTGTTTCAAATTTAAATAAAAAATTACCATAAAAAAGAAACTCACAATGCCAAATACATGAAAAAAATTAAGAAAAAAAAAAAAAAAAAGGAAGAAAGAAAGGAAGGAAGGAAGAAACTCACAACTCACAATGCCAAATACAACTCCCCCAAACAAATACAAGACAAAAAAAAATGGCACATTTTTAAAGCAGTAGCCTTCACTTAGATCCTGACATAGCATTGTCTTTGTGTGGAAGGAAGACAAGTAAAGGGAAGCCCAAAATATTCTCAAGATAACATTTCACAGGAATGTTAAAAGATGTAAAGAAACAAAGAAACTTTCTGTTGGGCAATACAGTTTTCTTTTGAAAATACTAAAATAATAACATGGGTTCTAGAATTTACATTTTCAATGAATATCTGAAAATACTCTTCAAAGTTGGGATGGATAAAAAATATGTCTCCTAAAAGCTGTTTTCTGGGAACTGACTTGCCTTTAGGGGACATCAAGGCCATCTGTGTGAAAAATGTTTCCAAATCCAGGATCTAAAATGCAATGGAATTCTAAGATTTGTGAGCTGCATAATAAACCCATCCTGTGGGTGAGCAACTATCCAGTGCTGAAATTCTCCCCACCACAAAATGAAAGCATGATTCTTCCTTGGATGCTTTTTGCCTCGTCCGTGTTACAACACTTAGTATTAGGCATCTCTCATAGCCAAGCAATGCCACATCTTCAAGATGCTTCCTGCCCTGACATGTTTCCCCTTGCTATGAACAGAAGAAAGGAAAATCTTCCCATGGATTCTCACATAGGAGTTTCTGATTTCCTGCTTCTAAAAAGGGAATCCTATAGAATAAGTATTGCCCTCGTTTTCACTATCTTTGGTAGAAAGGATAGGTTGTTACAAGTCTTGGGGACTAGAAGAACAGGAACAGAGAGAATAATCAAAACTTTTTTATTGTAAAAGCCACACTAGCCATAGGAAGCTGTCAAACCATAGCATTAGATGTCAGGTCTACCAAATTAACTAGGAAACATGCATATCTTTAAGTGACGTGGAGAAGTAGACTCAGCTTCCCAAATGCCTATTTTTTGTTGTTGTTGCTATCTTAACCTAAAATGTGTACTTCAGAAAAAATCCAGAGAATACCTTTGAGTCCTTGAATTCAAATAAGGAAATAATCTGTTAAAACTGATATGTTGTGTAAATAGTCCAGGTTAAAATTCTTTCAAGCCCAATATGTAATCACTAGTATTATTGAATTATTTCATTTGTGCATTTAGAAACCAATATGATTTCATTTGAAAACCTAATAGTTTGAGACCTCTTTTCTATCTATCTCACTTACTGAAATTTGAAGGATACCAGCTTAATTCTTTCCTGAGATATAGTTCTTAACCTGAGATAACAACAACCCTCTTTCTACAGGTGCTGCAATCAAATCAAACTGTATTATCATGTACTAGGTACAGCTGAGTAAAAAGACAGTCTTTTTAAAAGGAAAATTACAACTTTAGAATGCATTCATGGAAAGAAAACTTATTTTAAAAACATGTAATTTGGCTGGCTGAATAGATGGCATCTGAATTTTCCTCAAGATAAACTCAAAGGGAGTTTTGTTTATCTTTACTAGTACTCAGTCAAGGGAGAGGACACTCCCTCTACGAGCCACAGCCAGAGCTTAGAGTGGTAAGAATATACTGGCTTTTCTGAAATACTTATTCTAAAGAGAAACAGGAACAATGTACACAAAGTAAACAGGAAAAGGAAATACCCAACAGAAATCATGTGAATATCAGGGAAGCCTTTCATAGCAGGCAGCGGCCCAGGTCACACCCCTTAGAGAGTGTAAATCACACAATGAAAGAATATATGAGAGGGTAATTCAACAACGAAAGACTTGCTTGTTCCAGTTCATAGCATCAGCAAAACCTTCTTCAAAAACACAACAGAGTTAGGGAGGGTCACAATGCACGTTACAAGGTAGCTAGGCGGCTAGGAATTGACAAAATGCTGTTAATTGTCTGGACGTTCTTAGCCAAACTCCCCAAGTCTCACTTGACAAAAGAATTTGTATGCAAACATATCAGGGGAATGTCTTGATAGGCACACTCAATTTGCCACCACCTTTGCAAGAATGCTACCCATATCCATGCAATTGTGGGTAAGCTTATGGCATGGGATCCAAGTTTAATTTGTGCTTTCCCCAATTTTAGGGTTCCCGATAGTGCCAACCATTATCCATGCCATCACTCGTGCTCTCTACTACAATGACAAGTAAGTATCGCACCAACTTCTAAGTTAATATAGTCCACAGTGAAAGCATATTTGTATTGATGTGTACCCTTGCTTTTTGCAGCTGCTGGCTGAGTGTGGACACCCACTTGCTTTACATCATCCATGGACCTGTCATGATGGCTCTGGTGGTAAGAACTAGTTTCTTAATATACAGCTTTGTGAATATATTCCTATGTGGCACATGTACTTAACCAGAAAATAAAGCCAATTTAATGCCATTCTATCACATAGTCTTCGAAAACTGTCTTTTTCTTTATAAGTAGAGAAGCTCGTTTGCATGAAAAGGATAGAGTCTATGTAGCATTTTCATCTCTAAGACACATTCATAGATCCTTATGCCCACATTCTGCTCCTACACTGAGGAGGCACCCTTTAGTAACCTAGCATGACGGATTGCTGTCCAGGCTGCTTCTCCGTCTCTCCAGTTGTATTAGCATCGTCTCTTGTTTGCTGTGACAAAAGCAACTTAAGAAAGTTTATTTGGCTCCTGGCTTGAGGTGACACAGGCCTTCATGACAGAGCATGCAAGACAGAGTGTGAGGCAGCTGTCCCAGGGTCATGCCCTGTCAGCAGGCAGAGAGGGCGGGTGCTGGTGCCATCTCCTTTCATTACTTTCCTCAGTAGAGGACTCCAGGCCTGTAGAATTCAGTTACTATCAAAAGTCTCATTCTTGTCTTACAAGTATTGCCCAATGGCCAATTATATCCCAGATTTTATAAAGCTCACTCTAAGCACTTTACAATTATTTTAAAACTTTATTTTCAAAACTAACCTTCAGAGCCAGAAAACCTGTGGTTCAGAAGATGTAGATTTATTTTAAAAGTTCTCTAGTCATTGACCTGGCAGATAGTATATTTCACACAACAGTCACAGATTATTTGTTCTTACACATCTTTGCAGGTCAATTTCTTCTTTCTGCTCAACATTGTCCGTGTGCTTGTGACCAAGATGAGGCAGACTCATGAGGCAGAGACCTACCTGTACCTGAAGGCTGTGAAGGCTACCATGGTCCTTGTGCCCCTGCTGGGGATCCAGTTTGTTGTGTTTCCCTGGAGGCCCTCCAACAAGATTCTTGGGAGGATCTATGACTACGTCATGCATTCTCTGATTCATTTCCAGGTGAGGAAACCAACTGTATGTTTACTTGCTGGCTTATTCTCCTACTAGATCCATATGACTAAACTCCATAATCTTCTTTGTAAGACCATGATCTTAAAAGTCAAAACTCACAGCCTTCAACTCAGAAGAGCCAAACCAAAGCTGTAGAAGGAAATGAAGGTCTATATGGCATTTTTTTCCATTTTATTGCTACTCGGGCCCTTTACTGGTCCCACCCAGGCAACTGGCCTCATATCAAGTGGGTTCTCAGCCTTTCTTTTATGAACCAATCTGATTTTGATGTGAAGAGGGTAAGACATTCACACAGAGCTGCCCATGTCTCCTGATCCTCTCCTTTTCATAGTCAGAGTCTATCCGTGAGAGTTCTGGGACTGTACAGGAGCACTGTACCTGGGATTCTCACATTTCTCGTGTAGACAAGCACCAGGTGAGCTGCAGAGCTGCTTAACCAACTTAGGCAAGAGAACCAACTTAACCAACCTAGGCAAGAGAACAGGTACCTTCTTCCCATTCACTCCAAAGTCGTGGTCCAGACCATAAACTCTAATTAAGACATTGCTGAGTACTTTGAGAGGCCATCTGGGCATGAAGAGGCTCTCAGGGACAGCCAGAATTTTTCTTTCTCAATTATAAATTTCAAATCCACTGCATTTTTCTCAACTGCCAAGGCCTAATGTAAGGTGACAGTCAAAGTGAAATAGGTTAAAAACAAATCCTGGGTGTTTCTTTGATAACATAAGCTATTGGGATCATACTTAAAACTCAAGGCATCTTACAAGGATTAAGCAAAGCCCCAAAGGCAACTGAGTGGGTTTCTGAAAGACATGCTAAGACAGCCACTCACTAATTTACAGCTTCATATCAGACTTGCAAGAGGTTTCTCTGGTGGTCACAACTTTAATTTTTTTAAAGTACAAAGACTTTCCAAATCCACCATAACCAGTATGTTCAGGGAAACTCTCCATGTTGAATGAAGTGATACATTAAGCAAATTCACTAGAGCCTAGAGCCATTCTAGCTGCTGAATCTTTACAAGAAGCATACTTCTCTACTGATAGAATGATTTTTAAACTTTTAGTGCTGAAGATTCATCCCTGATTTCATACATGGTAGGTAAATGCTCTACCACTGAGCAGAAAATAGACTTCTAATGGAAATATTTTTGTGGTGTAGCACTGAATAGAAGAGGTAGATCTTTCTTTTTTCCTACCTTTATTTTTCATCAAATCGTGACATGCTGTTGCGATAGTGGGATATTCCTCTCTAGACAGTCTCTGTGTGTTAGCATTATGAAATGATATCATGCAAACATGAAGAACTTCAAATGTATTTTTCCTTTTCTTTTTAGGGATTCTTTGTTGCTACCATCTACTGCTTCTGCAACCATGAGGTAAGTATGCATGTAATACTATCACCCATTTATATAAAGCCAGCAGTTTGCAATTTCCTAAGGACCACAGTGCAACTTCTCCAGATCTCATTTCTACATGATCTCATAAGAGTTTGTGAGTAATAGGAGAGTGGGTTTTTTCTACTCCCTCAAGCTGAGTCTCACCTTTGGATGTGTGGTGCAATTACACATAGAACCCAAAGATCATGCTAAGCTCATATGTCCTTGGGCTGCACACTGGGCAGCTTTCCCAGCAGCAGTAGGAGAAACTATTCTGGGTTCTCACAGAATGAGAAGTCATATTCTTTTTCGAAACTCACAGCCAGGCTGCAAAAGTCAGTGTTCAAAATATTTTCCAGTTACTTTGCACCACTTTAAGACCATGTGTTCAAATATTTTGAAAAATGACACTGAACTTAAGACTAAAAATGGATTCTCAAAACATGACAGTTGCTGTCATGGAATAAAGCCTACTCAGGTAGTTTCAACTAGAGTCCACTGTCCTCTAACAAACTCTTACCTGAGAGCTCAATTATAAAATGTGAAAAGAGAGCTGTTGTAACCCTTGGGGGGTTCTTTCAGTGAGTTCAAGGAGTACAATTCCAAAGTTCCCCTCAAATTTTAGGTGATCGGTCTAAGCTTCAGGAAAAAAAAAAAAAAAAAAAAAAAAAACGGTGGCACTGGCTCAGTGTCACAAATAGCTGTGACAGCCAGGACCATAGTCCAGACTTTCTGACTCCCAATTAAATTAACCAAAGTCCAATAAATTATCTATATATGTGATCCTTCCCTAGAAAATATCCTCTACTTTCTCAAGACCACGTAATTTTAATACACCCTTGTTCTTATCATTGCAAATTGATTCCTACTAAAAATAATTCTATTTCAGACAAAGCATTGTTTGTTAAGATATGGCATATACTATCCCGTTAGTATTTAGGAATATTTTTAATCATTAATAGTTGATATTTAATAACTGCTTTATAATTTCCTTAGATAATATTCACTGAGTACCTAAAATACTTGTCTGTTTTGTTACTTAGTGCCCATCTCCAAATCCAACTTAGAAAAAAAATTTATTATTCCCTTTTACTGGTACATCTTGTTTTTTCACCCAGCAGCTTTTGCTCCATTCAACAAAATGTATTTGTGTACTCATGATTGCTAAGGGACATACTAGGAGTCTGGGGTAAAAATGAGAAATCCTTCTGTTTCCAGCTGATAGAGTAACCTCTACCCCTCCTTTATTTTGTGACAATAAAAACTAAAACATGAATAGGGCTCATATCATCCCGTGTAGAATACTACACTAGTGAGAATACTCTGTGAATGTGGACTCTTGCATTTTGAGTTAGTTTTTGCTAAACAAAATGCACTCTTTCTTCTAAAACAATATCAAAATAGAGCTAATAGAAAAGTCAGACTCAGAAGGGCCAAGCCTTGTAAAGCACAAGAGAATTGCATGCCTTTGTAAAAATGCTACAATATTTATTGCATCTTAACTACGATGTCAATGGGAGTCTCAGAAAGTAAACCCAAGGGTTATTCTTGACAATTGAAATAGCTGGAGTTTATTGCATATGTTTTCTCTGTTTCTGAAACGTTTCTGTTTTCATTAAGATTATGTAGCTAGAGGAAGGAATAAGCATGACATTTCTAATAATACAAAAATGGCATGCTATGGCAAATGTAATATCACAGTCCCATGGATGTCAGACATCCAGGTCTCCGCTGGACATTCTGCACACATTTCCCCATCTATCATTGAACTCAAGCAAGGCACTCACACTCATAGGAAGTTATTTCCAGCTCTATCTGAGATAGATATGTCATGGAACTTTGCCTGGCTGAGTATTGAGTTTCAGCAAAGATCCAAGGGAGTAATCAATGCAATGATAAAAACTGAAATTTTAATTCTGATTCGTTATCAACATGTTGCTGTCAGTGATTGCCATTATGGAAATAAATCCTTATATAGAGGGTCCATGGATAGACTAAGTGCAGCAGAAACTCTGTCACTATGGTGACGGAGGAACAAATGAAGAGGGGGACTTAACTCTTTCCATCATTAAAGGAAAATCATGTCATCTGTACATAAGCACTTAACTACAGGTGCTTATGATAAGCTTAACAGGGAAAAAGAGAAATACCCCCAAAGCATTCAAACCTGACCAAGAAGATTTCAGTATAATGTTTGTCTCCACAAATATGGGAATGAAGGCCCAAATATGTCAGCCTTCCATGGCTTCATACTACACAATAGAGCCAATAAGAACAGTTCTGTCTTCAGGCCATCAGACCAAGCTTTCACTCTCCAGATTCAACGATAAATAAATCTATAAAATCAAGGAGGAATTAAAGTTATTTGTGTTTGTTGCATTTTTCAAAATGAGCAATAAACTCATATAATCCAGAATATTGTGTGTTAGACTCACTCCTTGAACCCGCACACATTTTTCTTGCTTTCCAGAAGCAATGAAAGTCTCCCCACCACCACCCCGCCCTTGTCAGGTCACAGATTTCATACCTTTATTCTTACCATCAAAGCAGCATCTAGTCCATGTACTGTATCTATCTCCTACTATAGGAAATAACCAACCTTATTAGACTATAGCCATCACAGTATCTTTTTCATACTGCTCAGGGCCTGTTTCTATATGTATTCTTTATAAATGGAAGCAGATTGCCATCACCACACAAAACAATGGTCCATAAATTTGAGATGCAAGTAGAGAAGGTTGCTGACTTCCTCATGTTGGACTGGATAATTCAGTATATGTGGATACTCTAGTGGGATTGTAAAAGGACAAGTAAGGCAAAATCAAGATTTTTTTTTTCATCCCTGTGGAGAATGTATGCCAACTAACACTACATTTGTAACCATCTGCAATGGATGCCTCTAAAACTCAAGGGTTTAGCTGTAAGAGCAACCTTGGTATTTAAGAGATGCCTAATCCATGGAAACTATCGGTTTCCTTTATCTACAGATGCTGCATCTCAAAGATAATGAACTGGCATCTTTCCTAATTTCTCAAGAGTACATAGATTATAAACCTGACATCAAGGGGCTTATCTACAATCCAAATAAAGCCAAGCTTCACTTGGAACTCAGGTTCTGCCACATTGTAGCTTCCTGACTGTGCACACATGGCATAGTCTAAGCTGTCCTGGCCATAAGTGAACACAACAGTGGTGCCCTTGTAAGGAGGCAGCTGTGAGGATTAAATGAATTAATGCAAATCAAGTGATTATAATATGGCCTGTGGCAATTAGTCTGTAAGTGCTAACGAAATGCTTTTTGCCATCCCTTGTCCCTGTATGACTTTTGTCAAGGCAAAATCCAGCTGCATGGCATACCCCAGCCCTTAGCACTTCAAGTTTTTGTCTCTCTGTCTGTTTAAAATATAATTGAATATGAAACGGTACACCCAAACAGGCATATCCACAGTTTGTTTGAAAAGTCCATTATTTCAATGGTTCTGTTGACAAATTATTCTTATTGTTTTTCTCCTAAAAGAGACTGAAGTCTCATTCTTGAAAGGTTTTGAGCTGCCTTAGTCAGAATTTTCTATGGACAACTCACTTGGAGCCTTGTTTGGTAAGGGTAAATCCACAACATGGGTCCATTATCATAAAATTTGGGACTCTGTTGTCACTTATGGATGTATTTTCATGATCCACGAGTTCATATTTGGATAAAATCATGTCTTAGCATGAATGGCAGCAGGTAAAATTTTTCCTAACTCTTTCTCTCTAATGAGACATGTCTGCTACATTATGAAACGAATCAACCTTCCCTTGCAGGCTGTGAGAGCCAAGACAGAAAGCTTTGCTCAAAAAATGGCCAACAGCTTGCCCATTGTTACCCAGATGAGGAACTCACTTCTTCTATTGCCATATTGTTATTCCAGGGTGATATATTTCATAACCACGGTACTCGGTTCTTAGAGCAGATCTACAATTTATCCTCCTTTAGCCTCTGTTAAGCCCCAGGGGTCAAGCATATAAGCTGACAGTCACTGAAAACAAGCCTTTCTTTCCTCTTCCAGGTCCAAGTAGCCCTGAAGCGCCAGTGGGCACAGTTGAAGATCCAGTGGAACCAGCGCTGGGGAAGGCGCCGCCGCCGCCCCACCAACCGCGTGGTCGCGGCTCCTCGTGCTACAGCCTTCGCTGAGCCAGGTGGCCTCCCCATTTACATCTGCCATCAGGAACCCAGGAGTGCTCCCATCAACAACAATCAAGGCGAAGAGGGTATAGAAATGATCCCCATGAACGTCATCCAGCAAGACCCATCCGTCCCCCAGGAAGACTGATCTGCTTGAACGTGAAGCTACCCCGAGCATTGTGATGTACTGAGCCTTCATTTCCTGGGAGAAAGATAGACCATGCATTTCAAGTGACCCCCATCCTCCCAGGAGCTGAGCATATCATTCGTGAAGAATTATTAAGTGAACTTGTCCTTAGTGATTTTGAAGAGAGTTTTTCTTGGTACTATTGCTTTGGGAGACAGTCTAGGAATAGAGTCTCCCACTGCAACTTGTGAACTCCATCTTTCATCTAGGACTGAGACTGAAGGCAAGGTATCCAAAAAATGCCACTAAATTGACCTAGTTCAGACACAGGGTGCTTCTTGTTAATCTTGAGCCATTTGTACCTTTAAGAAATTGAAATCATTCTCAATATTTTTAATTTTAACACTAGACTTTGAATTAGACTATTTCTGTATTTGGCTATGGATCTGGTTTTTTAATTTTTTTATTTCAAACAATTCCTATATTACATAAATGTTTTACCATCCATACAATGTAAACTTCGCAAATAGCATGACCTCTGAGAGATGATGTGGTTTTTGTTAAACATACAAGCAGGTAAGTTATAGGAGACGATAGGTGCACTGGACAGGAAGATATGATAGTTTGAATGAAAAGACGTCCAGAGTGATTTTGCTGGAATTGTACCACACTCAGATTGCTTTTGGATAATCCTGTCCACCAGGAAGACCCAAATGCTGTAAGGAATTGATCTGAATGCTGTATGTGACTTGGCCACTGACATTTATAAATTGGGAGGTCACCAACAATCTATCACCAATTTTTTCACAAAACTGCCAAAAACTTAATTCTCCATGAAAGAGGACACTCTTTAAAGAGAGTTTCCACTTTTCCTAAAGTAAAAGATTTATAAAGCAAATCACTCCAAGGTTTATAAAGCAGATTACCTCTTGCCCTCAGGTGCTACCTAGCAGTAAGAAAGAGATTTGTTTATGACTGGTAATTAAGAGACTCCATACAAGTCCATTAACTTCCTTCCACCTGGCTTTAAAGCTTAACAAGATCTCTGTGTTTTCCAGGAAGACTCAGTGCAGCTAATTACAAATCACTTTTTAGCTGACCTCTTGTTTGCTGCTATTAGCAAAGGGGGGAGCAGCATAAAGATTTCATTTAACCACATATTAATTCATCTTAAAATACTAAACGAGCTTCTCATCAAAACCCAGACTTCTATTTCCACATCTCTCCTTATTCTCCAGTATAACACCTTCAAAGATCCATGAATCAACCAATACCAGTACTGATTTCTGAATCTGCATCAGCAAAAATATCATTATCTAATTTGTATGCTAAATGAGGAGTTTCATTGAAACCCTCCAAACCTGGGTCCGTCTATGACATCTTCTCTCACTGCCTTTCAGAAGATTCTGGTTACATATTTAGTGCACCCAGAGAAAACTGCATTTTCCTAGTGACCATGGACTTTGGATACTGAAAGTGTGCCTCCTTTACAAAATGTAAGGGAAGAATTGAAATGAAGGTATTTTGTTCAAATCACAGTGTTACATGGTGATGTTCCTATTTTTTTGTTTACAAACATCACAAACTTTGTATTTCAGGCAGCTCTCGTACAAATGTGATAATGTATTGCTAAAGTATTTGAGATGTTGTGCTGGTGTAGTAGGAGCTGATGAAATCAAACTACCTTATCATAGTATTGCATGTAAAACCTAAATTGTGTGAAACGCTTCTGCTATGTACATGTATACATTAATACAGAGCATATTGAAAAGGCAAAGCTGTACATTTGCATATTTTTCTAGAGAAATACATTTTCATCTTCCATTCATCCATCTTGTCTCTGCTCATTCCATGCTTCCTTCATTTCAACCATAAACTACCTACATCACACCTTGTTCGTCTTGTGTGTGCCAGGAAGATCTGAAAGCATAGGTTACATAGATCACAAGATCCTTGTCTTTATTCATGTAACCAACCACTTTCAATCTCACCTAGTGACACAGCCTGTATACTCTTGATAATATGAAACCATCCATAACTGTCAGTCTGCCATGAGATATATTTGGGGATTACAGCAAAGAATTCCAGGATGGGGAAGTATAAAATCATTTTGTTGTGTGAGAGTTTCCATTGCTCTGGCGGTAGACTTGATCTGTCCAACATCTCCTCAGGTCATTAGAACCATTATAATGACAAGTTTCTAATATCATTTGGGAGAAAGACTGAGAATTAATAAAAAGGTGACCAATTAATTAAATATCATTAGGATACATAAGGCCACTATTAGAAAGATTTATCAGATCCAGAAAGCATGAAATGGAAACCTGAAGATTAAGGATTAAGTATGAACTCCTGAGCTAATAAGGAGAACAAGAGTGATTCATAGACATAGCACCCTAAATTGCTGCTTCCTGAGACCTGGGAATTTTTTTTGAGAAGGGATATACATCTTTCCCTGTATGGTCCACAGAGCAGAAATAACAGACTGTTGCACTCTTGAGATCTTGAAGAACAAAAATAATTTCCAACACCATAGATGTAATTATTCAAAGAAGTGACTTAAGCAGAGATAGCTGCTCATCTCCTTGGATTTTTCTAATATAAAATGGCTCAAAATGGGCCTTTGTGTACAACTGATTACTATAATCCTGAGGGAGGAGAAGGCATTGGAAAAGACATGATAAAATGTTTAGCATCATGAAGCTACACTTCATTCATTACTCACTGGAACAGATGTTTCATGAATGTCCCATCCTGCCATAAGTCTAACATTTATTAATAGTGCTAGATGCTTATTTTCTATGCCAGGGGTACAAATCAAAACCTTCTAAGTGAAAACATAACCATCGGTATTCTGAGGGCGGGAAAACAATGTGGTATGTGTTGGAGATGGTAAGCCTAATGTAAGGTCTCCTCCCAAGTAGCATCCTTCCAAGCATCAGCAAATGTTCTCAGCAAAACATCTACACAGTGTTTTACCTAGGACTCATTTCCTAAATAACAACATGGAAGAAACGTCAGTCCTTCCATGGTTACAGTATGGCTCACTATCATGTGACTTAACACCTTAGGGTTTAAAACCACATTTGAAGAGTAATCAGAAAAACTTGATTTGTTCTTTTGAAAGAAAAATCCAGGCGTGGAGCACGGGAACTTGACATGGAAACATAAAGAAAACTAATGATAATATGTCACTATAATGGCAAAGGAAGTTAGGAGGCATTCTCTTTTTTAAAGAAATTTTAAAACTTTTTATTTATTTAATTTTGCAATGTATAGAGGTGCTCTGCCTGCATGTATGCCTTCAAACCTGAAGAGGGCATCAGATTGTGAGCAGCCATGTGGGTGCTGGAAACTGAACTCAGGACCTCTGGAAGAACAGCCAGGGCTCTTAACCATTGAGCCATCTCTCCAACCCCACATTTTCAAACTAAGAACTTTAAAAAACATTTTCTTTTGTTTGCAACATGGGATTAATTTCCTTTCAATATATCCAAATAATCTTAAGCGCTGAAGAAAAGCACCCTTGAAACTATAGCAAAATCTTATCAGAATCTTCCTTCACTTATTAACAGTGTCTTTGAGGATTTCAAATTTTATTTTAAGTGTTAGCCACACAGTCCCTTATGGTCCTGATGAATGCCTATTTTCCACTTAAAGAAATTTAATATATTCTATCAAACTTTCCTAGTAGCCCTTTCACCAAAACTCAAACTGCACCGCCCCTCTTTCCCTATTGACCAGCAATGCCACCTAATGTCACTGACATCTCCATTTCTGAAGTGATCTATTATCTCTTAGTTAGGAAATTTTGCCGCCAAATATCAGACTATGTTAGTGAGTGTTCAATAGAAATTCAATAAAGCCAGTTGAAAATGTCTTCCATTTAAAAAAAAAAAAGTCACAAATAGACTAACAACCATGCTAGTCAAGCTAACCAAAGCTAGTACACAGATGTCTCACACATATACCATGCTCCTAGGTATAGACTCAGCTACAAACTCCAGAAATATCTATGCAGCCAAGGGGATAGTTAGTCTGTGTGCAGCAAGAATTTTGCTGGACATGACTTATCCCGTGTGCCAATACACTGTGACCTCTGTGCACTATCATGGACAGATAGGCACTGTGGGTCTTATTGAGATAATTATGAAGATGCAGAGAAGATAACCACCATTCAAGGAAGCACTGAACTCTATAAAATAGACCAATAGCCACTAGCTCTTCTATAACATGGTAAATAAGAATCTGGGAAACAATAGGCTGATGGATGTTTATTCAGGGGAAAAAAATCACTTAGAACAGAAACAGATGACCACCGCAGGTTCCGGTCCAAGGATGCCTCCGGATGCTCTCTGTCTCCGACCAAGAAGCAAAAGCATGAGCTGGAGTCTGGGACTCCAAACCTAGTCCTCCTTCCCACCCCAGGTCACACTCACACCAGTTCCCACACCCCCCAATGGGTGTGGTCAATGCAACAGGTGCGGGCAGGGTGGATATCTCATTACACTATACTGCCTTTTATAACAATTGATCTACTCCTTATTCCCATTTTAATGATGAGAACACTACATACAAGGAAGTTGAAGAATTTGTCCACATATAACAGTTGGTTATATTAGATACTTTCTTGATATTATAATCAAATGCATGATAAGAGCAGCCTTAGGGAGAATGGATCAATCTGGCTAATGGTTTAATAATGAATACCGACATTGGACTCACTCATTAAAAAAAAAAAAAAGGCACAAAGTTGGCAAAGTTGGGAGGGTCCTGTGTTTGAGGGGTGGGGAGGAGTTGGATGGGGAGGGAGTGGATATTATCTAAATATATAAAAATCTCAAAGAATAAATTTACAATATCATGATTACCATAAAGAAGCGATACCTCCCATCTTGACAGGGAAGGTGCCACTGAAGAACAATGAGGGGGGTGGTCACATCGTGTCTACAGTCCTGAACAGGAAATACACAGGCTGTAGGGCAGACTATAAAACCTCAAGGTATGCCCCCATTGCCCCACTCTTCCCAGGTAATCTCTGCCTCCTAAGAGTACTACAGCTTTCTCAGTTCCTGAAAACCAAGAGTTAAAACACATGAGCTCATAAGACATTTCGTTTTTAATCCACA